GGCTCAACGGCCAGGAGCCTAGCCTGCCAATAGGTGGCGGCTAGGATCCGCTCATCCCATGTTACTGAGAACGAAGCTCGGTCGCTTCGCCTGACCGCGTGGCGAAATGGCCGCACACGCGGTCTGATACATGACATGGGCCAAGCGCTGGTTTGAGACAGGCCAGGGGCTACGGTGCATTCTTTAAAAATTTAAAGTTTACTGGCTTGTTCCGGGGCCGTTTCAGCTGCCCACCTTGCCCCCAAGGGTGTACGCAAGCGTCACCTGAACGGCACCAGGCTGCCTGCTCTCAGGGCCGGGAGTTTTGTGGTGGTGTGGGAACACTTCCAGTTCCCATTTTCTCGGCAGGGGCAAAGCCACAGCCTTGTTTCAGGTCTCTCTGGCCTAAGCGAGAAGTGGGCAGGACTGCTGAGTTTCAGGAAGGAGAGAGACAAAAATACCTTTTAAAAGAATCCCTGTCACCTGCAGATAAGGACACCAGCTTTCTTATTTTATTTTTATTTATTTATTTATTTTTTGCATTTGCATCCCGCCCTCCCCAATGGGCTCAGGGCGGCTAACAAGGGCAAGGCCATTTGCCATGCCATAGGTAAAAACATATAAAACCTAGTAAAACATCCAACACTACAACCACCGTACTCAATCCATTACTGATATCCTAAATCCAAGACGGTAACACCGCAGTTCCAGATGGTCCTCCCATAGTATGCGTGTCCAATGGCGTCGGCTTGTCAGATCTTCAGTAGTTTCCAGGTTCTTCCTCGGTTCACACAGTCAAGTTCCACTCACAGATTCTCTTAACTTTTCTTGCCTCCTCCAAAATAATTATTTGTAAGTCCGTCCCTTTCAGTTTGCCGGCCGCTTTTGTTTAACTGTTTGGGCTTTGTCCTCTGGAGGTCTCATTCGTTATCCCAGCTGAAAGTAATTTTGTGCCTCGATATTTCTACTTGTTCTTGAGTTCAATCCTTGTCTCTTCTTGCGTTTGCATTACAAACAAGTCTCTTTTTTTTCACCCGTGCAGTTTTAAAAACTCCGGCGGCTGCGGCTTTGCAAAGTCAGATTGCGGGGGGCCCAAAAAATAAAGCCCCTTGCTCCAGCAGTCCATACCAGGTCCGCTGGTCGGGGTTCCCCGGCAACCGGAGCCCCCGAAAGAAGACTGACGCGTTCGGGCGGCTCAGCGTTCGCTAGAGCACGTCCGTCGTCGCGCCATGCCGGAAGTGCTCCAGGTGCTCAACTACTGTTGATAGCTCTAGGGTGGGGGGGGATTCTAGGCTAGACAAAAGGGGACCTTGATCATGTTAAACCGCTGGGGCCGAATTCTTTCCTGCCGCAGACTTACTTCCCTGCAGGTGGCAGCACTTCCCTGAGGCTTCAGCCCTCCGGGAGACATTGGAAGCAGCCTAGGCCAGGTGAATGCAGGTGAGCAGGATCTCGCCTGCTAGTCCCGTGTGCCCACCACCCACCCACGCAGCATTCCGGGGTGTCTCCTTGCAAGCCGGAAGGCTGCAGCCCTTTGGACTGTGTGCAAGAGGCTGCTTGTACATGTGCACGCAGGCATGTTTTTTTCCAAATGTTTGCAAATGATCTCAGTGTGCCCAGGGTCCCCGCTGGCCAGGGATGCGGGGGGGGGGGGCAGTGTGCCCTCTCAGCTTCTAAGCTGAGTTAGTGTGAGCTAGCTCACAGTTTTATAGCCTCTGG